CCCCCCCCAGACCCGGGCGACCTCTCCGTGACCTCCAAAAGGTCATGTGACAACAGTATACATGGGCACCTAAGTCATGCTGAGAAGCAGCATGGAGCCAACCCCAGCTGCTGTGCGCTCAAACAGCACAGCTAGGGGGGCACCCAGGCCATGGGTCTTGGGCTCCCTCAGGATCACTCACCAGGCCCAGACACGCACAGGACTAGAACCCATGCCACCAGTGTCTCAAGGCAGCACCTCACCCCACAAGGCCAGCAAGCTCTCCTTCCCAAAGACCTGTCGGGTGCACCTCTTATCTCAATGCCTCTGGCCGCAGCAATGAAAGAGTCAGGGGCCCGCAAGTAAAGAACTTGCCCAGGAAGCCAGCTCATTATGCCAGGACAGGCTTTGAACTCATGACAGCAAGCTTCTAAGGCCAGCACTCTCCCCACCAGGCTAGCAAGCTCTGCTAAACACAAAGCTGTCAGAGGCACCTCTTGACTCGGTGCCTCTGAATAAGGCCTTGCATTAGTCAAGATAAATGAAGACAGCAGTCTTCAACTCTCTCTTCCCACCTCAGTCTCACTATTCATACCAGAAGACCTGTTATTCCCTTACCAGGGATTGAACTCTAGTCTTTCTGACATACCAGCGTGGGACTTGGCCCACTAGGCTACTGGAAACACTGGCTGGCTGTTTTCGGAACTAATATATGTCTTCTGTTGAGCTGGTTCCTCTTGGCAGGCACTAAGTGCCCGCAGGTGAGAGACTCAAGAAGTGCAGTGGTTACAGCCCCAGCCTGAAGTGCCGCGCTCTGTTGGTTTTAGTCCCGGGTCCAAACCTCCATTTTTCACTTCCCATCAGGAGAATGGGCCCAGCTAGGTGAGAGCAGGAGTACCTCACCCAGGAGCCCGGCAGCATGGCAGACAGACTGACCTGACCTGGAGCAGAGCCGTGATCCCAGGTCTCCAGAGTTTCAGCAGCCAGTCTATCGGGTGTACATCTACCCTGACTTTGGGGGCAACGTGGTGAAGTGCTACACCCAGGTCAGGCAGCCTGGGAGGCGAGTCAGGCTCCGGGGTGGGCACAGGCACTGCCTGCCCTCTTCCTTTGGCATGAGCCCGCCTTAGGCAGCTCCTGCAAGCCCCAGCCGTCAGGCCTCACTTACCCCCTGCACTGCCTCCCCCGGCTGCGCCCAGTCTCTCCATGCGACTTACCTGGAGCACGCCAGGGCCTGTGGCTGCACACGGGCACATCCATCTGCGGGGCTGCGGCTGGAGGTACAGTGCAAGGAGGATGCACAGGCCTCTGCTGGGGCGGTGGGTCCCGGACGCCAATGCCCAGCCGTGGCACTTGGGCACGAGACGGGGGGCCAGGGACAGCTGCACCGCTTGGTCAGGAATGCTTGCCGGGTTCGCAACAGATGCTGTGTGTGAGTGGCGAGTTATGTTCCAGTCGGTTACCTTCCACCAGAATTAGATGATATGTGGGGCGGCAGGGGCAGGGGCAGTGGCCGGGGACTTGCACCAAAGCTGCAGGGAGCTGGGAGCTGCGGGTCCCTGGGGGAGCGGTGGGACAGGTGCTGATCATGGGCAGTCACGCCTGATGGGCGCTCGGGAGGCTCCCTTCCAGGACAAGCCACCTGTGGCTCCAAGCAGCCCCTGGGTAGGGCAGGCGGGGAGGGGACTGCTGGGCCAGCCGCTCACGCTTGGGACCCGGCAGGGACTCAGAGCCACGTGTCACGGAGCTGGGAGCTGAGCCTGAGCCACCCCCAGTTCCCCATCCCAACTTGGGCAGGGGCCTGACACCCCAGAGGCAAGGGCGCACTCAGGCCTCTGCCTCCCCTTCCAGCCAGCCCTGCTGTGGGGCACGGCCAGGGGCTCTGACTTGGGCTCATCTGCCCCGGCTGTGCAGAACCAGGACTGCTACAAAATGGGCTGGAGAGAGAGAGCCACCACCGCTCACTGTGTTTGCTGTGAAAGCCCCAGACCCTATGAGTGATGTACAGAGACAGAGATAGAGATATATAGAGATAGATATGCTGGACTGTAGGTGCACTTGCCCTCCCATATGTGTGTCCTAAGGGGAGCCCTATCTATCTGTCCTTCTTCCCCCTGACTTCTCTTCCTTCTTTCCTCTGCAGTTTTGGGGTACGTTTCCCCCCCATGTCAGATGCCTATGACAAAGACCTGCGGCGCCTGGCATTGGCTGTGGCCAGGGATCTGGGCCATGCCAAGACTGTGCATGAAGGGGTCTACTGCTCAGTTGGAGGGCCCAGCTACGAGACCATCGCTGAGTGTCGCTTCCTGCAGCGTGTGGGGGCCGATGCTGTGGGTAAGTGGAGGGAGTGGGGAAGGTAGAGGAGTAGGAGGAGGCGGATGGAAGGACAGGGGAAGAATGAATGACAGAGAACAGAGAAAGAGAGATGGAGGGGAGCATTGGAGAATACATAATGGGGAGAGAAGAGGGAGCAGGGCTTAAGGGGAGGGACATGGCCGTCTCTGCCTTCAGCAGGCTAACCTCCTTCCTGCTCTCTCCCTAGGCATGAGTACTGTCCCCGAGGTGATTGTGGCACGACACTGCGGCCTGCGCGTCTTTGGCTTCTCGCTCATCACCAACAAGGCGGTGCTCGACTACACCAGCCAGGAGAAAGCCAACCACACAGAGGTGCTGCAAGCCGGCTCTGGTAGTGCCAAGATGCTGGAGAAGATTGTCTCGGAGCTGGTGCAGCGCATTGAGAGCAACAACAACTTGGCATAGGCAGGGGATGCCTGTGCCCCCCCTCCCTCTTCTGTTTAGGCACTGGAATTCTCCAAATCTTGTTTAAGTCTCCCCCTCCGGTGAACTGTTAGGCTGCCTCTGAGCACCAGAACCAGCCCTGGTTGAGGATGTTCGGATGTTCATTCACTTTGGGACACTGCAGTCTGGTCTCTTAGTCTGCCTGTCCCTTTCTCTGCCCTTAGTCTTTGTTATTAGATGAGCTTCCCAGTTCGTTCTGCCACTTGGAGACTTGCTTTTATCTGCAAGCCTCCCAGAATGCTGTTGTCCGTCTGTCCTTGGAGAATCTGGTCTCTTCTCTGCTGAGCAGGTTGATCTTCTCCCTGGATTTCCTTCTCCTGAGGCATCCCTGTCACTAATTGCACTGATGGATGCATCCAGCCCAGGCAGGGGGCGATTGACCCTAAACACTTCAGTCATTCTAGCTGCTGCTTCCCACGCAGAGGGAGAAAGCCCCCCGTTTTCATCTCGGTGTCTCTCTTATGTCCCCCTCTGCTTCTCTCAGTCTTGGCGTCATGCTGTGCCCTGCTGGGCACCTGTAGCTCTCCTGTCCAACTAGGTGTCTTAGCCCGAACCCCTCCCTGCCTTTGCAGCAAGCCTCCTCCTTGGGGCTTACCAGCAGGAACAGAACCTGGGTGCTGGGGCACTTAGAAGCACTGGCTGCTATCACTTGAGCTCAAGCCTTTAGGCAGCAGTGCCAGTTTGCACGTATGGGAGGGCAGCAGTGTGCATGGGCATCTGGTGCTGCCCTGCTAGCGTCACCTGAGTTGCAAGCATTAGGAGGATCTGGACTCCAGTCTTTCAGAAACTTGCCTATTGTGTGCAGAGTGCGTGATGTGGGCATGCTCTTCTGGAGTCATGCAGCGCTGTCTATCAGAGACAACTCTGCCTTAGGTCCCGAGAGCAGTAACGGGTGGCTTTTGTGCCTTGGTTTCATGAAGAGTTGGGGTCTCTTACTTTCAGGGGTACCTTGGTCCCCTTGGAGGAGATGGGGTGACATACGTGTGTGTTATATCCACTCCTGCTTGCAGCTGGTGCCCACTGGCAAAGGGACCAAAGCCCCTTTGTTCCACCTTGGCTATAAGAGATGAATGTCCTACCAGACAGCCTCTCTGGGGTTAGGCCTTACCTGTGCAGCTGGTTTTAGCCTGCTCTTCACATTCCTCCTTCTTTACCATTACCACTGTTTTTGTACAACAGTTACATTTTCAATTGCTCTTAAATTTGTCGGTGGGGTGCCCCAGAGCGGCACCCCACCGACAAATCGGTTATATTATACAATATAACCGATTGTATCAAAGGACTGTTTCAGCATATGGCACTTTCATTTTATTTAAGAAGCTGTAGCCCTGGCTAATTATAACACCAGTTAAAATAAAGCAATAAGTGCAAAGTCTCTCATGTGAATTGCTTTGTGAGGTTCAGGTCTCATGGGAGGTGGCGGCGTTCCAGGGCTTGGGCTGGACTTCATACCTCCAGGGGATGTAATAGCCTACTTACACATGCAGCAAACCAGTGCCGGGACAGGAAAGCTGGGCCCATCGCTGGCCAGTGTCAGTAGCAGCAGAGGCCAGCAAGATAGCCTTGCAAAAGGCTGAGGGAGGCGGCCCTGCTGGGTGGGCGCTGTATGTGGCCATGGAGGCACAGGGCAGCAAGTCAGCTGTACCAGGACGCAGCATTTGGCTGTAGCCCACAGAGCAAGGGGTGCTCACACGTGGGCCGCACTGCACGTGGCGATTTCTCATGGCTGACGCCCCAGTCTGCTCAAAGGTCCTTCAGCATTTCCCTACCCCACCCCGGCCAATTCCAGCCCTGCCAAAGCTGCCCCTTCCTCTTTCCTGGTACAGCAGTTTGCTCGACGGTGTAACAACCCGCAGTGGCAAGAAGGATACTGATGCAGGCGACACCGGCCCGCTCCCAGGAAACGCTATTGCTCAAGGTGCGAGCAGCAGCACTGAATATAGTGCATTTAATCAAGATCCTGTTGCTACAGTTTGCTAGGGTGAGCTGTGCATACTTCTGCCTCCTTCAAAAGGGGGAAGTCTATTTAAAATTAAAAAGAAATCCAAGCTGCTTCACACAGGATATAGGCCTGGCACGTCTTAATACTCCAAGCAAGAACCTGACCCAACCCCAGAGACTGCCAGCTGGAGCCAGATTTTGAAACCGTACTACCATTGCAAACCCACGCGTCGGGACATACGGTTTCATTCTGCCATCTGCCATCTCCGCTGGGGAAGCACCAGCTCCAGTTGCCAACTCTGACTGAAGCTATTCCAGGAGATTTCTTTTTTTCTCCCCCCTGCAACATGACGTAATGTCAGGAATTGCACTGCTCATTACGGATGATGTCATTCTGCTGCCCAGGGAAAGGAAAACACAATCAGAAGACACGTTTTTCACAGCACGGCGCCTTTCCGCATCATCCGTCACCGGCAGCACGCTTCCTCTGGCCCAAAGACCTTTTTTCCAAGCATGGAGTGGGTGTAATAAAAGCAATCACATCTCCCCAAAGGTTGTGGGAGAAAAATTGGGCTCGTCCGGGATTTGAACCCGGGACCTCTCGCACCCTAAGCGAGAATCATACCCCTAGACCAACGAGCCAGCTGATGAAGTGGTTTCCTAGCAACGCCCCTTGTGCTCTTCCTCCCTGCTCAGCAGCATCCCTCTGCCCCCACCAGCTGCAATGCACCCCCGGCTCTTCCACCCCTGCTCATGGCCCTTCCTCCGGCGGTGCCGCACACGTGTCATGTCATGGCATCACCTGATGAGTCTCTGGGGTCCCAACAGGACAGCAAATGCCAGCCCTCTGCAGACAGGAGCTGATGGGGAGGGCGGAGAAAGGGCTACATTTGCATGTGCAAAAAAGAAGGAAGTCTACCAACAAGGATCCGTTTCCTGCCACCGAACGCAAGAAGCAAACTACATGCAGACTGGAACTAAAAAAAAATTAAAATCCTTCATTTGCAAATCAGGGGAGCAAACTTCCAGCCTCTGCGAAATGAAGTTTATTTCCTACCTACGAGGATTTTTTACTCGATTGGATTCGTCCACAAGCCGGAGGAAGGGTGCACGTGCCCAAAAGCTTGCAAAGAAAAATCATTTATCTGTGGTTTGTGAGCTAATAAAAGGTATCATGTCTCAAGAGTGCTAGTGTTTTGCATGTGCTCCCCCTGAGATACCAAGCCAGCATCTGCCTTTCTCCAAAGACGTTTCTAGGGGATGTTTCTTTAGGTCTAGACCTTTCTAGACCTAAAACCCTGAGATGTACAATAACTGGACCTAGGGGAAAGGACAGGCTCCCTTGTCTGCATAGAGCCGTAACAGGACAGGAGCCGAATGAAGGAGGGAAGTCAGCAAGCTGGTCCGTAGCCCACTGAGTTGGTTCATTTTAAGGTCGAAGGAGCTTGCATTAGGCAAACAGTTGCTCTCTGACACCGGGTCCACATGAGCAGGCGCATGCGCACAAATAGTAGCAGCACAGATTTGTGCCGCTGCTTTGTGCCACAGCGCGCACCCCTGCCCATGTGCTTTGCAGTGGGACACGTTGGACCGCTGCTCCACTTGCTGCAGGGGAGTTGGCAGGGTGGCAGAGCAGGAACTAGCCATCCCCTGTGCTGAGCCTGTGCCAGCTGGGGAGTGGCATGTAGAGACAGGGGAGCAGCCTGGGCTGCCGGATCCCCTGTCTTTGCATTTGTCCAGGTGCTTGCCATTTTGGTGCGGTTTGCACCGGTTTATTTGTTTTGGTACCAGGAAATCCCGGTAGCAAATTTTGGCCCAGCTTTGCAAATTAGCAGCTGCGTGCACTGACTGATGTGCAACTCGGGTAGTTTGTGGCACCGCAAAGAGGTTTGCAGCACCACAGGCAACGCGTGCCTGCATGTTTGCATCCAGCCGGAGAGGCTGGACAGGCTGGGCATCTTGTTGTGGGCAAGGGGGAGCGAGATGGCATGGGATCCAATGGAGAAGGGACCCCGGGTCCTCTGGAAGGAGTGCAATCTTCTGGGACCATATTGCTTCTGCTATTGAACACGAATGAGTCTGTGCTGACCTTTTCGCAAGGGTATGTTGGGATCTAATGAAGCTGCGGTGCCTCCTGTTGCCTGTCTCCATGCTCTGCACACCTCGCACTGCTCCAGGCATGTCCTCATCTGGGATCTGGTGCCCGGCCAGTAGACAAGCTCAGTGTGGGGGCAGGCATGCCTCTATTCCCGGGTGCAGAGCCTGTATCCTTTGCATAATTCTGCCTCTAATAAAGGAGCCCGTTATGTTCCCCAAATTACATGTGGGTGCCAATGGTTTCACCTCTGTAACATAAGTATCTACTTCATCCGGAGCCTGATTCTGGATTTAAAAAACCCCAGTACCTTCCTACAGCCTCGTTTTCCCTGGTGTCACTGTATTTATCCAAAGCTTTCATCACCTGCTCTAATGTATTGGGCCCCTCAGGTAAAAAGGGTTGCACTCGCTTCTCTGCCCTTTCTCCCAGGAAGGTAATGGAAAAGTTTACCTGCATTTCTCATCCCGGTCTGCTATGGCCAGCTATGTGTACAAGCTCAGCTCTTCCTATTGCTTCCCCCCTGCTGCCAGGCTCTTTGCTAGAAATCCAAGTGTACAGGGGGTCCGAGTCCCTCCCCGCTGCCTTTACATCACACACTTTGTTGTGCCGCTCATCTGCTGCCAGCGTTTTTCATGCACGGTGCAATCGTAAAGGGACTCCGTTTGGATTGCAAAAAGGTGGATCTTGATTTGAAGCGCCACGTGCCGCTGCGTGCAGCCGTGAGGTGCGGTGTACGCTCGGAGCTACTGTGAAACTGTGCAGCCAACTGCACAGAGACAGAGCCCTTAATGCAGCACCTTAAAGCACTCAACCACACTACCAAGGCCCAGGTCATACAAAAAAAAGGCTGCACTATTGTGCCAGGAGCACAGTGGTCAGCAGATGTCCCCCCTGCTCCTCCTTTTGGCGCTTGTCCCATGGTGCCCAGCTACGGCTGCACGGATCCGGAAGGACTTTCTCCTGCACTGGCGAAGGCAATGCTTTAGTTTGGGCAGCAGGGGGAGGCAGACGTCCAGCTAAAGGGACAAGCTTGGCCATCATCACAGCACATGTCAAAAAAGTTCTCCCTCCTGGTTGCTGGCCTTGCCGGGCAGTTTTTGCTCATGAATCCAGGTTTAAAGTCTGGCAGCACCCTGGCTTGCCTCTTCTTTTTCTTCCCACTTCCAAGATTTTAGGAAGAGTAAAACTCTCTCCGTAGCAATACCCCTGTTCCCTACA